TCGACTGCGGGGGGGGAGAATGTGATGGTAGAAATGGTTGGTTGGGTCGAGTTGCCTGCACTTTGAATGGCTTTCTCGTTGAGCAGGGCGACGTAGGTGGACATGGTCGCAGTGTACTTATTTGTTGCCGCAGTTTGTCCTGTCAAGGTGTCCGTGTACGTACAAGGTGGAGACATTGTAGCGATCGTCATCGCGAGATTGCCATACCACATTCGACAGGCATTCGTCGCGAGCATCTTGGCTACTGTGGCATCGGTGATGGGGGATTTGCCGAGGCGTGTCAGTGCTTGGTTCGGCTGACCAGATGTGAGCTCGGGAACGTCTTCCGCACACGCGATAGCGTATTCGTTTGCCAGGGATCTGTACATGACACTTGACACTAGGGCCGTGCACGTTTGGAGGTTGAACGGAGACACGGCAACCGCCGTGGGGGATTTCGTGGTGGTGGCTGCGGTCACCGATGCCATACCGGCCAGCAAGAAACCAAGCGGACGCCCCATGCTTTGATGGTACACTTGTAGTGGGTGGACGGATGCAGAATGACTCGTGTATAAGTCACTTCTAAGTGAGCTCGTTCTATTCATAGAAACGTATCCGTTCAACGGCATCGATGTTGGCACTGCGACTGGGCTGCGAGATATGCACACGTGCATGCACCGACGCTGTCATCCGGTATTTATTTGGCCAAGTTGGACTTGACGCTCCAGTGCCAAATACCCGGGGCACTTTCTTGGGCATCTCGTCTGAGGCGAGGTCGTTACAATCCCACGACATCTTTGAGCCAATGAGATGCAAGAAGAATTGAAAGGGTAACTTGATTGGCTAATATGACGAAATGTTGGAAGCTCAACAGCAGTGGCGGCTACTGAGATCGTACAAGGCAATCTTTTGAAGGCCTGGCGAGATACCGTGTGGCATGTCATAATGGCGCAGAACCAACCATCCTGATAGACCTGAACCGTACTTGTATCTATTATTGCCTCGTAGCCGGTGCCACTTGGCTATCGTGGCATCGTCGTCATTCGTCAACAAAACACTTTGCAGTCAGTACTTGGCCTCTTTAGAAGTGCCACTCGCCATCGAACGAGAACTTCGCTAGGTCAAGATAACAGAAGCACTCATATGGGATCTGGAGCAGTTTGTACTGCGCATCCACAGAGGCATGCTATCTCCTCGACGTCATCATGACAAGCAAAACATGCGGCTACGGTATACTGCACGGCTCGTCGTCTTGGAAATTTCGGACACAAATACACACACCACATTGCGGCGATCGCACGATTGAATCATCAATTTTGAACGTGTCGTTATTGTTTCAATAGAAAGCGTTGTGGGAGAACCGTACATACGTCGTCAGGACAGGGGTGTGAATGCATCTTTATATCGAGTGTGCAGGGTGATGCGTGGTCAATTAGAAATCATTTGCGTTAAAGCTGCAATTTCGGTTCCTCCTTCAACCGAGGTGTCCTGCCCATCCAACAAGTCGTCGCCGTGGACGATTTAGAAACGTATAGTTGCTGTCGCCATTGGCGCGCTTGATGGACATCTCGTCATACCTCTTTCGACGTCGATAGGTTGCCGTCTCCAATCTCCGAGAGTTCTTTCACTTTTTGGGTCGCTTATGGCTTGAGCTGAAATGGTTTCACCGAAGACACCGCTACTGAACGGTAGCTTGCGCCGACCGCTTTGGCGGTGCCACAAGATCAAGATATCTTCGGAGTTCGTTGTTTGAAGTGCCCGGTCAATACGTTCGGTGGTTCGTACCAAGTTCCAAATTATGCTGGGAAATTTCATGACGATTCCTGTGCATATTCAGAGCACTTGCAAAAACGAACGGAACCAATCAAAATATTTTCAGAGTTATTTATAAGCTTAGTTCAATAAGTTCAGCCAATCATCGTAATTGTGGTGTGATGTGGGTTTTTACTCGGGTTTCCCTTGCGACGTTGGGTTGGAAATAATCGACCTCTGAACTGTGAAAAATCAACGGCAACTTGAGTCTTTTCCTTATGATCGACTCCAAGAAATTATATATAATTCATTTTGTAAAATATTTGTAAACCTGATAAAGAACCAAAACCATAATACAGTAATAATTTACCTCAGCCGAAAATCAGTACTTGACCTGAGCTGTTCAAATACCTCACGTACAAGGATCATTCGCCGTCCTATCTTTGAAAATCAGAGTCATGGATAATTTGAAAAATGGAATACTACTAGTAGTAAGATACCTCGAAGTACTAGCTTATTGTAAACATAAAACATCATTCGACCCAGATACGAACTACTAGAACAGAACAATGCATTTGCCCGCTCCAAAGTCGGAGGAAGTCAGTCAAGAACGCAACCACGATCATACTCGGTTTAGTTAATGTTTCCTCTACGTCTTGCAAGCATTTTCACAGGACCGTCCAAATCTGTTTGTTGTTTTCGGTGTTGGATGTGTCGCATAGTTGAGGTAGTACAGTAGGTGCGATGTGAGTATTAATAGTATTACTAATAATCTTGTTGTGATATCTCGATTTTGCAATATATGCCTTGTGTTACTAAGAATTTTGTTTTCTCTGGAATATTGTGTCCTCATCGCATTCAACGCGATGCCCAAGTTTTACGGCCGCGGGCGATGGGACCCGAAGCTCATCTTCCTTCAGATGGTATGCGTACAGGTAGGTGCGGCTGCCAGCCTACATGCAAGGCTTTTGTGTCTCGCGTGTATGTGCCCATGCATTGCTCGGTCTGGTAGTGCTCACATTACCTTGCCCTTGGTGTCCTGCTCGCCGTGTTCCACGGTCACAACATCACGATGGACCAGTTCTTCTCGTACAAGATTCATGCGTTTGAAAGCGTCGACGGCATGCAAACGTCGACGGCACATGTGCTTGGCGGACTCGCGAGTGCGCTCTTTCTGTGCGTCATCGTCGAACGGGCAAAGAAATGTCTCGACTTTGGACTCACCCTGTACTTCATCGACTTCGTCATCTGCTGTCTTTACGGGGTATATATCGTTGCGTTGAGTTCCATCCACGGACTCATGCCTTGGCTAGGGCCTTCCATCGAGCATGACGTGGTGGGTCGTTCACGCCGTTTCCCTTGGCATTACCGTCGTCCTAGGTACTTGCATGCCCTACAACCTCCTTGCGTCTCATCCAGTCCTCAGGTGAATATCTGTGCTCTCTTCGCGAATTGCAAGAGATTCCGATGCTCGATCTGTTTTCCCAGCGGCGTCCGCATTCCCCGACCAAATCCCACACCCAGTTGTCGTCTACTTCGACGAGCAGTACACCCCAGAAGCAGTCTTAACAACTCGCATGTATCCTGTCGATTCCCGTGCTTTGTACAAACTGACGAACCACCAGCGTACACCACGAACCCAAGCAACTTCACCCCGCATCTGCCGTGTGTATTCCCGCAAGATCACGAACAGAGGTCCTGAAGTCGCGACCTGACAATTGGTTCTCCATGTGGAGAAGTAAGTGTCTGAAAGGTATGATGGACTGAAACGCGCAACAAGAAGGTCCCCATTTGCTCCGACGGTGGATTCGTGCGTCGCCAACACACGATGCTCCAATTCAACTTCCTACCGAGGTGTCGTGCATTTGGTCGAGGACGTCGTTGAGGATGGTCAACTGCGTCGCGTACGACGTTTCGAGCGATTCGAGCGACTTGGCAAAGACCGAGTCGATGCCGCGGAGCTTGGGCAGGACGGAATGTGCCAGCGACGCCACCATATAGTCGACGGTCGGTTCGCGCAGCATCGCTTTCGACACTCGGAGCTCCTCGACCGATCCAAACATGTCAAGCATCGATAGGATTGTTCGGCTGGACAGGTCCACACACTGCGACACGTCCAACTGCCTCAGCGTGTACGCCTATATGAAAACGTGAGGCCGCGAACGCGCTGGCAACTGCGGAAGCCGCCGTGAATGAAATAATCTGACCTGCGACATCGCCAGGTCTTGCAACCATCGGCGAGTGGCATTTGGAGGCGCAACGATGGAACGATATCGAGTCAGCGCCATCTGCGCTGACACGACCGGGCCCTTCATGTACGATCGGGCAAAATGCACCTCTGAGGGCATGAGGGTTGCTGCAGGGTGCTTTTCTTTTCTTTTTTCGAATACGCCATGGGAGTTCTCCGACAGGGTTGATGCGGGAGGGTACAAGACGGTTGTCGTGGTGAGGAGGTCATGGGACGGTGACGCTTGGGGCAGTTCGGCGGCGTACCACTGATGAATCAAGTTCATGAACGTGCCGTTGTCCACCATGTTGCCGGCGTCGACGGGCACAATCGTGTCGAGGGTTCGTCGTTGAAAGAATGGATGTTGCAGCAGCGGCTCCATCGACGCGGCTTGCGTAAACACCAAATGCGCCGCGTACTGGAGCATCGCACGGCAGTCTACAATACACACGGTATGAGCACTCTGACGGCATACCACTCGAGCGGCATGATGCAATCATGACTTGGTCGATGGCATTGCATCATCCAGTTTGGAGAACACACCAACCTGACGGGATTGCAGCGACAGGGCGGCGAATGCACTGCCACAAAGATCGCGGTGCATCCGTCGGGTTGACGTCCAGGATGACTTGGGGTTGTGCGAGGACGTCGACGTTGTTGAGGACGGGAGGAGCAGGAGTCCCGTCTGCGGCCGTCCACCTACCTTGAAAGCACATGTCGAGCACGCAGTGCATAAACATGACGAGCATTGCCGTGTGCACGGTTGGCGCGCTCTCGGCGTACTCGTCATCGGGTTCTTGTCCAGGTAAATACCGACGTATGCGGCGGTGGCGGCCGCCGACGCGGATCTTCTTCATGCATGTCCAGAACCGATTACGGAACAGTGTGTCGTCGAGCAAGGGGGTCGGTGCGCCAACAACGTCATTTTGGAATGCGTGGCTAGCATGGTGATGGTCCATTGCAGCCACAGGAGGGTCGTTGGGCGACAAAAGCACGTGGTTGAGATAGGCATGACCAGCCACTTGCACGAGCGGCACTCGATTCATGCTGTCGGACGACTCTTCTGTCTCGACGCTCTTGTCTGATGCGAAACGATCATTTTCAAGGGAGATGGATTCATCCAACGGATGAACTATGACCGTTCGCATGCTCACCTTGTCATGCGTTAAGCCAGCCGCTTGAAGCGCGACAAGTCCATGCAAAATTTGATGGAGAATTGAGCGTAGGACATCGGTGGACGGCGGGGACGCTGTGCCGTTGGTGTTCCGCTGGAGCCACGTGTGCAGTGACACACACGATTTGTTTATATCATCGACGACAATGGCTTCAACCACAGGATCAGGAACGTGCATGAGCAAGTCGATTCGTCTCTCACGGCTCAACTGCACTCGTTGGACGTGGATCGACGACACGAAACGTGTCTCCAAGACACGTAACTTGTCCAGAACACTCGCGTCGGCAATTATCACGTCATCGTCTTTATAATGGCGGGTCTGAAGAACGTTGGCAGAATCCAAGGCACGACCAAGCAGGGGTCCATTCGCCAAACCACTCAAGCAGTACATCATGTACACCTGGATGTTGGGGATCACAGAAGCCTCAGACGGAAGCGCGAGGAGTCCGCGGAGCGGATATCCCTCGACGCCAGTTGTCATGAACTTGGCCCACAAGCTGTCTTGCACGTACAACATAGCCCAGCGACGGCACACCATCGACACGTTCAGCACCAGGTCTCGTGCACCGAGAAAGTCCAAGACCAATGATTCCATGTCACCGAGACGGGCGAGACCACCACTGGGATACAACGAGCGATCAACGTGCCTTCGATCAAAGACAAGCGACGTGGTGAACGAGTTGGTCGGCACAACACTCACCCGGCGACGTAACGAACGCAATGCTTCGAGTTTGATATTGATGCTGCGGTGCTGTTCAAGCACAGGGTGGTCCCCTGAGTTGTGCGGCATGTACGCTGTGGGAGGACCTTCGCGCTCGAGTTTCGGAAACGCCATGGCGACCAGCGGAGCTTCCATGTTGAATCCGGTAATGGGCACATTAAGTGCTGGGTTAAGTGTTCAGTATTTTAAAACTCATGCCTGTCTTACGAATACAATGATCCAATGATTTTATACCTATATGACATTGCACTTTGGTGGATTTTTGTCGAAAGATTTCGAATTCAGAAAAGGCAAAGGTGCGCTATATACGAAAAAAATCCCACAAAAAGGCACAAAATCATTCCCAATGCACGAGAAAAATTCACTTGGTACGATTTAGATTTGAAACGCCTCCAATCGTACAAATATATGCTAGGCATCTCAAATACACGCTGGTTCCAAGAGCGCCGATTCCCCCGTTGCTGAACCTTGAAGTTCTTGGGTGCTCCATCTAGCGAATCCAAGCGATGGTAACTTGGTACTTGCGTCTATGTTTGTGGCGCACATTTTCACTCACAGTCAAATAGTACAAATTTTCGCCTTGTGTTTAGAATGTAGCCCAGCTTTGAATTGTGATTTAAATTATCAGTCAAAAATCGCAATCACGCTTTATTTTAGATTCTCGCTTCGGATCACATTGGGCCAGACATATTTTGAACGAATCGATATCTTGATTTTTGTATGGGTCAATGCACCGAAACCAAGGGTGGCCGACCCTGGTTTTTTGCAATCGAACAAAATCGGGTTTTATTCAAAAATCTGTGTGCGCCAAAATGAAGCTGAACCCATAATCAAAAGGACCCCAAGAGGCCACTTAGTTTAACAGTAAACTCAATTACTCGATTATTACAGTGAACCCTGGAAAAAGCCGACCACCTCCAAAACATGATCCG